GATGCTAAGAACGTGTTTAAACATCCATAGACAAAAATTGTCACATTGACAACTAGAAAAATTAATGACCCAATGTCACCAACTTGAACTGGTTCCATAAAATGTTACTAAAATCTCATTACAGCATCGGATGCTGTAATGAGCCTCATTACAGCACCCGTTTGAGTACTGTTATAGCTTCCATTACCGTAGCGAATTACAAAAAATATTGTAACTAACTCGTATATTAAAATGCGATTAATTATCTCAATAATTAACATAATAAGTTAAGATATCTCGATATTTAATCGCCTTCATTAATAGACTTGTTGGTTAAATAACTATTAATTTCTTATACAGGATGTATCTGAATGACTGCAACAAACTTCAAGGGGTGATTCTTTAGTGAATTTCAAGGGTACTTTGATAATATCAACCATGGGCGTCTTCGACTCCCCTAAGGAGCTACACCCCTTCAAAAATGGCGGAAAATTTCGGTTTAATTTTTTTTTCTCGAAAACCATAAACGCTAGGAAAATGAAATTTGGGGAATATGAACTATAATAGGGTACGTTTTGACCCTATTTGTACTTTCAACTTACCCTTCTAAACTACTAAACGTAACCAACCCAGTTCAATTTATGCCTAGATTTTTTTATGCAGATGGTAAATACATTTAAAAAAAATTTACATAGGTAGATGAAAGTATCCTAACACTTTTTTGTCTCTCTAAAATTTTTCCAAAAACGACTAATTTTTGAGAAAAAAAATAATAAAGCAAACACTGCCCGTTAATCAACGAGGTTGTTGATCAAAAGTTGGAATGACTTTTTATTGAAAAAATCTTAGTTGGCTTTGTAATCTTTGTCAGAAATATTTTTGACGTTTAAATGTCTGTTTTTCTTACTATTATTATTGTTTTTCAAATTAATTTTTAAATAAAGTTCTATCGCATTTACGCTCGTTCACTCGACGTTTCAAAATTTTAAATAAAACAATAATAATAGTAAGAAAACCACTGACATTTAAACGTCAAAAATATTTCTGACAAAGATTGCAAAGCCTACTAAGATTTTTTCATTAAAAATTCATTCCAACTTTTGATCGACAACCCCGTTGTTTAACGGGCAGTGTTTGCTTTATTATTTTTTTTCTCAAAAATTAGTCGTTTTTGGAAAAATTTTAGAGAGACAAAAAAGTTTTAGGATACTTTCATCTACCTAAGTAAATTTTTTTTAAATGTATTTACCATCTGCATAAAAAAGTCTAGGCATAAATTGAACGGGGGTGGTTACGTTTAGTAGTTTAGAAGGGTAGGTTGAAAGTACAAATAGGGTCAAAACGTGCCCTATTATGAGTTAAACATATTCCCCAAATTTCATTTTTCTAGCGTTTATGGTTTTTGAGAAAAAAAAGTTAAACCAAAATTTTCCGCCATTTTTGGAGGGGTGTAGCTCCTTAGGCGAGCCGAACTCGCCCATGGTTCATATATCAAAGTACCCTTAAAATTCACTAAAGAATCACCCCTTGAAGTTTGTTGCAGTCATTCAGATACACCCTGTATAACTTAATTAAAATAATTGTCTCTTATAGTCGTGCCTGATGAAGAGCTTATAGCTCGAAATACGTATAACACTGATTTAAACATTGTAAGAAATTAATAAATTTCATTCATCGACACCTTTTCTTTATTATTACTACTACGATGAACCCGGAGAATATCATTGCCGAATGTTTCTAGTTCTAAGTCTAATGTTAGTTCTAGAGATAGTGGTAAGTAGCGCTAGTTAGCATAAGATATGACTATGTTGTACACTTTTATTGAACTAAAACTAGAATTAACACTAGACCTAGAACTAGAAAGTATCGAATGTTTCTAGTTCTGGGTCTAGTGTTAGTTCTAGTTTTACACTAGCACTATCACTAGAACTAATACAAGACCTAGAACTAGAATAATTCGGGTTTAGCAGTCTTAAGAGACGTACGGCTAAGCCCGAATATTTCTTGTTCTAGGTCTAATGTTAGTTCTAGTTTTATACTAGCACTATCACTAGAATTAACACAAGACCTAGAGAACTAGAATAATTCGGATTTATCCGTTTCTACTTTGTATTAAAATAATATAGACTTCTAATATCCTTCGTTTAAAAAATCCATTTTTAAGAATAATAAGAATTCCTTACGAATTTTTTCTCATACAGTGCTTCTTTAGCTGCTTCAGTAAGGCTCATGTATTCGGCTTCTGTGCTTGATAAAGCAACGGTCCTTTGTTTNAGAATTCCATACGAATTTTTTCTCATACAGTGCTTCTTTAGCTGCTTCAGTAAGGCTCATGTAATCGGCTTCTGTGTTTGATAAAGCAACGGTCCTTTGTTTTTTAGTTTCCCACGAGATTGCTGCGTTTGCCATTTTAAACAGATAACCAGTATAGGAGCGCCGATCATCTATAGATGATCCCCAATCTGCGTCTGTATAACATTCCATTTCTTTCCCTGAAGTTCTATAAGTTAGTTTCAAATTTATTGTTCCTTTTAAATACCTTAACACTCTTTTTGCGGCAATGCAATGACTCTCGTTGTAATTTGTATTAAATTGACTTAAGAAGTTAACGCTAAATGTAATATCTGGTCTTGTACCAATTGATGCATACATTAAACTTCCGATCAGACTTTGATATGGATACTTTTTCATTATTTCTTCGTTTGTTACTTCAGGTTTTAGTAAGTTTGCATTTGGGTCCATTGGTGTACTGATTGGTTTTGAGTTTTCCATACCAAATCGCTGTAGAATATCTTTTATATAATTCTTTTGTGAAATTTTGATCGTTGTCTCCCCCTCAATTTGGCTATGTGAGAATTCTAAACCAATACAGTAGTGTATTTTTCCCAAGTCTTCCATATCAAAACATTGAGATAATATCCTTTTGAAATTTTCAATTTTTTCTAAGTTTTTGCAGGCTATTATTATATCGTCCACGTAGATTGCGACGAGAAGTGGTTCCTCTTCATTTGATGTATAAATACATTGATCAGCATTAATTGGTTTTATTCCAATTTCTTTTAATTTGTTATCTAATTTTTTATAATTACATTTCGGGAGCTGAGATATTATTATTTTCTGGCGTGTATGTAGACTTTATTGTATCACTGTATGTCAAGGTGCACTTTTGAGCTGTCACAAGATAGAAATTAGAAAATTTTATAGCTTTGATAGTATGAACAGCCCTAGCAAATAGTTGATCTAGCTTCTCTTATTCAACTTTTGATGAAACATCAATAAAACCATCGAGTGTGGAACTGGAATATTTTCGAGAATATTCTTTTATCTCTAGACTGACCAAAAGTGCACTATAACTTTACGAACACATTATTATAAATTTATTGTAGTGAAGAAGTTTGTAATTCGAATAGAAAAATATGCCCAAGTTGTACCGATAAACATTGTTTATATACAGAACTAAGCGATTATTGCTCTTTAGCTGAGACGGTTTATTATTTGGATAACAATTACACAGCAATTTTTGCTGTTTTAATGACACTTTGGGGTTTGTATTCTTTTCTTTCTTTTAATCGCTTTATTTTGAATTTGTAGCGACGTTATTTCTGGAATTGTGGAGTCGAGAAGAACAAGTTTTTAAATACAAGTGGAATTTATTAAAATCAGTACCACAAATCCATGAATTGTAACTAAACCAAAAATTAATTCGCTGATTGTTCACGCTTTATTATTTTTAAGGGTTGATTATAAAATTCGCGTAGCAAATCACACAAAATATAATAAATTTACGAAAACCGATGAATATTACACGCCGTTGATGATGAAATCATACCCAATCCTTTATTCGATTATTATTGTTTTGGCAGGAGTAAGTTAGTTAAAAAAGATTAATTCAATTTATTGTTTATAATCACGTTTTAGATCCTACTTCTTATTGTTACAACAGGGTTAATTTTAATTTCAGAATATTTGATTACATACTATACCATAAAATATAAAGTATCGATAGCGGTGGATTATCTGGTCACTGTAATGCGAGTTTACAGTTGTTTATGCACGATTATTATCATAAAAACGTACAATCCGGTAATGCTTAATAGGGTATTTAAAAATATTTAAATTTAAAAGAAATATTTTTGTTAGCTTATAAATAAAATTTCTCAAGTTTTGACTGATCGGGAAATCCACCGAACCAAAAACGATTACATGAACGCGTACATCATCAAAAACTACGTTCTCAACTTTTTCAACACTTACCTAATGTCGTTTTACAATTCTTTCATCAAAGAGGTCATGTTCACCAATCCAGGAGATTATAATATTTACAATAAGGTGTTTGGTATAGCTGCTGATCTTTGTTCGCCAGGGGTGGGATGTTATTTCGATTTATCCATGTCCACTACTTTTAATATTTTAAAAGAATACATTTTGTTATTTTTCATCAACAGCTTCCTTATGACGTAAGTATTTTTTACTCTTTCCCTTTTAATTTATTAATTAATTATTCAAAATTAATTTTATTGCAGACATTTAATCACAGGCTGCAAATTCCTTTATAAATATATTTATAATAAACTACGTTTTAATTCGAGTATTCAAGCCCTGAATATTCCACAATGGGAAGAAGAATATACATTGAAGCCGATAAGTTCGACTTATTTTTGTGATGCCTTTATTGATCTAAGTAAAGCGTAAATACAGGGTGATTCACATAAGAACCGACACAGAGCAGTGACATGTAGAGGACAATAAATTAAGATGATATAACGTAACTTACCTCTATACTAAGTTGTACGCCTGAGGAGTTATAGGCCTTCAAAATTGAGTTCTTAAATTTTTAAAAAGTTCAATATCTTCGTAATACATTAGGCTATAAAAGCCAAATTTGGTATACGTTATGAGTGTAGCAAGGGTATTAATTGGTACCAAATTAAACTCAATTGAAGCATTTCAAAGGGTTGATTAAGCATTGCACGCAGTACATTTTGAGTGGGGTCTAGCTTTGGCAGAACAATTTTCACAACTTCCTCTTTCTTTTGAACTTGCGCTACAACATTTTCGTAGACGCCGTAAATTTGAATATTTATTTATCAGACCTGTATCTACAGAACGACGAAAATCTGATACAGTATTGAGAAAAAACATATTGAGCAAAAACTAACATTTTCGCATAATCTAAGTGTCAAAAAAGATGCTAATTCAAAAATTCTTGGAAGCCGTGTTTATTGAAATTAAGGAATGAGACTTATTCTAAATTAAAGCTCAAAGCTTTCTCTTTCAAATGATGTATAATGATTGTTGGGTTGGATTGGAAAAATATTGAGAAAAAAAATGTTGAAACAAAACTTACATTTTCGTATAACCTAAAAGTGTCAAAAAAGATGCTAATTTAAAAATTCCTGGAAGCCGTATTTATTGAAATTAAGGAATGAGACTTATTCTAAATTAAAGCTCCAAGCTTTCTCTTTAAAATGATGTATAATAATTGGTGGGTTGGATTGGAAAAATATTGAGAAAAATAATGTTGAAACAAAACTTACATTTTCGTATAACCTAAAAGTGTTAAAAAAGATGTTAATTTAAATATTCCTGGAAGCCGTATTTATTGAAATTAAGGAATGAGACTTATTCTAAATTAAAGCTCAAAGCTTTCTCTTTATTAGGATGTATAATAATAGTTGGGTTGAATTGGAAAAATATTGAGAAAGATAATGTTGAAACAAAATTTACATTTTCGTATAACCTAAAAGTGTCAAAAAAGATGATAACTTAAAAATTTCTGGAAGCCGTATTTATTGAAATTAAGGAATGAGACTTACTCTAAATTAAAGCTCAAAACTTTCTCTTTAAAATGATGTATAATAATTGGTGGGTTGCATTGGAAAAATATTGAGAAAAATAATGTTGAAACAAAACTTACATTTTCGTATAACTTAAAAGTGTTAAAAAAGATGTTAATTTAAAAATTCCTGGAAGCGGTATTTATTGAAATTAAGGAATGAGACTTATTCTAAATTAAAGCTCAAAGCTTTCTCTTTAATATGATGTATAATAATTGTTGGGTTGGATCGGAAAAATATTGAGAAAAATAATGTTGAAACAAAACTTACATTTTCGTATAACCTAAAAGTGTCAAAAAAGATGTTAATTTAAAAATTTCTGAAAGCCGTATTTATTGAAATTAAGGAATGAGACTTATTCTAAATTAAAGCTCAAAGCTTTCTCTTTAATAGGATGTATAATAATTGTTGGGTTGAATTGGAAAAATATTGAGAAAGATAATGTTGGAACAAAATTTACATTTTCGTATAACCTAAAAGTGTCAAAAAGGATGATAATTTAAAAATTCCTGGAAGCCGTATCTATGGAAATTAAGTAATGAAACTTACTCTAAATTAAAGCTCAAGGCTTTCTCTTTAAAATGATGTATAATAATTGTTGGGTTGCATTGGAAAAATATTGAGAAAAATAATGTTGAAACAAAACTTACATTTTCGTATAACCTAAAAGTGTCAAAAAAGATGTTAATTTAAAAATTCCTCGAAGCCGTGTTTATTGATATCAACAAATGAAACTTATTTTAAATTGAAGCTTAAAGCTTTCTCTTTAAAATGATGTATAATAATGGTTGGGTTGGATCACAAAAATGTGGAGAAAAAGAAGGTTGAAATTAAACTTACATTTTCGTATAACCTAAAAGTGTCAAAAAAGATGTTAATTTAAAAATTCCTGGAAGCCGTATTTATTGAAATTAAGGAATGACACTTATTCTAAATTAAAGCTCAAAGCTTTCTCTTTAAAATGATGTATAATGATTGTTGGGTTGGATTGGAAAAATATTGAGCAAAATAATGTTGAAACAAAACCTACATTTTCGTATAACCTAAAAGTGTTAAAAAGATGTTAATTTAAAAGTTCCAGGAAGCCGTATTTATTGAAATTAAGGAATGAGACTTATTCTAAATTAAAGCTCAAAGCTTTCTCTTTAAAATGATGTATAATAATTGTTCGGTTGCATTGGAAAAATATTCAGATAAATAATGTTGAAACAAAACTTACATTTTCGTATAACCTAAAAGTGTTAAAAAAAATGTTAATTTAAAAATTCCTGGAAGCCGTATTTATTGAAATTAAGGAATGAAACTTATTCTAAATTAAAGCTCAAAGCTTTCTCTTTCAAATGATATGTAATAACTGTTGGGTTGGATTGGAAAAATATTGAGCAAAAAACTATTGACATAAAACTTACATTTTCGTATAACATAAAGGTGTCAAAAAAGATGCTGATTATATAATTGACGAAGTATATATCTGTAAAACCACAGAAAAGCCTATACCACCACTTCTTGGAACAGCGGTCGATTGCATATACTTGTCGAAGTTGATCTGCATGATCTACCGAACGCAGTAGTTGAAGGACAATCCTTTCACCTAATCCATAAGTTTGAAGTTTTTCTTCAGTTTCAGGAGATTTTCCCTCATACACATCAAATTTCTATATGTACCNAAAAAGATGCTAATTTAAAAATTCCTGGAAGCCGTATTTATGGAAATTAAGGAATGAAACTTATTCTAAATTAAAGCTCAAAGCTTTCTCTTTAAAATGATGTATACTAATTGTTGGGTTGGATTGGAAAAATATAAAAAAAATAATGTTGAAACAAAAGTTACATTTTCGTATAATCTAAAAGTGTCAAAAAAGATGTTAATTTAAAAATTTCTGAAAGCCGTATTTATTGAAATTAAAGAATGAGACTTATTCTAAATTAAAGCTCAAAGCTTTCTCTTTAAAATGATGTATAATAATTGTTGGGTTGCATTAGAAAAATATTGAGAAAAATAATGTTGAAACAAAACTTACATTGTCGTATAACCTAAAAGTGTGAAAAAAGATGTTAATTTAAAAATTCCTGGAAACCGTATTTATTGAAATTAAGGAATGAGACTTATTCTAAATTAAAGCTCAAAGCTTTCTCTTTAAAATGATGTATAATGATTGTTGGGTTGGATTAGAAAAATATTGAGAAAAATAATGTTGAAACAAAACTTACATTTTCGTATAACCTAAAAGTGTCAAAAAAGGTGATAATTTAAAAATTCCTGGAAGCCGTATTTATTGAAATTAAGGAATGACACTTATTCTAAATTAAAGCTCAAAGCTTTCTCTTTAGAATGATGTATAATAATTGATGGGTTGGATTGGAAAAATATTAAAAAAAAAGAATGTTGAAACAAAACTTACATTTTCGTATAACCTAAAAATGTCAAAAAAGATGTTAATTTAAAAATTCCTGGAAGCCGTATTTATGGAAATTAAGGAATGAGACTTATTCTAAATTAAAGCTCAAAGCATTTTCTTTAAAATGATTTATAATAATTGTTGGGTTGGATTGGAAAAATATTGAGAAAAAAGCTATTGACGTAAAACGTACATTTTCGTATAACATAAAAGTGTCAAAACAGATTTTGATTATATAATTGATGAAGTATATATCTGTAAAACCAAAGAAAAACCTATGCCACCACTTCTTGGAACAGCGGTCGATTGCATATACTTGTCGAAGTTGATCTGCATGATCTACCGAACGCAGTAGTTGAAGGACAATCCTTTCACCTAATCCATAAGTTTGAAGTTTTTCTTCAGTTTCAGGAGATTTTCCCTCATACACATCAAATTTCTATATGNTTGGAACAGCGGTCGATTGCATATACTTGTCGAAGTTGATCTGCATGATCTACCGAACGCAGTAGTTGAAGGACAATCCTTTCACCTAATCCATAAGTTTGAAGTTTTTTTTCAGTTTCAGGAGATTTTCCCTCATACACATCAAGTTTCTATATGTACCCTTTCTTATCTGCTTAGCACCAGAGCTTATAACCATCTAACCTTTTTATGGGCTTCATGAGATTGAATTGTTTCATACTTGACCTCTCTTTGAAGACTATCATGGATTCATCCACAGCCTGATTAATTATTAATTATACAGTGATGTCGGGACCCTTTCGCGTGGAGCATTTGAATGCGAGATCCGTGATGGCCCACTTTAGTGAACTTAGCGATTATTTATTGCGGTCAGGTTGTGATGTGCTAGGTGTTTTTGAGACTTGGTTGAATGTTAATATATGTGATCAAATGATGTATGTCATAGACTACAATATTTTTAGAGTGGATAGACAAACTAGGGGTGGTGGAGTAACGTTCTTTGTACGAGATTGTTATACCTGTAGTGTAATTGCAGTGTAATTGCAGTGTAATTCGCATAACTCTTGGTGTTTTTTACAGACCTCCTAATTATGATTTAAAGTTATTTACCGAAATATTCGAAAAATCTCTTTCGTGCATCCCTTAGTTGATGAGATGGTGGTGGTAGGTGACTTTAACGTTAACTTCATGATTGAGAGAGGCTATCTTCTGTATCTCTTAGAAATGCATTTGCGATGTTTGACTTGCGTGAGGTAGTTGAGGTACCCACGAGGATCTCGGGCACTTCTGTATCCCTTCTTGATTTGATCTTTTTATCTGATGGTCTGCTTGTTGTTAATTGTGTTACAATTGATCCTGGCTTCTCTGACTATCTGTTACTTTTTTATGAGCTGTCATTGCATAGGGCGGGGGTTGTATCTAAGATGGTAAGATTCCGCAATTTACGAGGTATTATCATGGACGAGTTTAATAGGAATTTAGATATTATGAATTGGGAGGCGGTGTATGACCTTTCTTCTATTGATGACAAGGTTAATTATTTTAATAAAGTTATGATTTCCTTGTTTGATGTCCATACAGCCCTCGTTATTAGGGCTCGAAAGAGGAACTCCCTGCCGTGGATTACTGCAAATATAAAGAAGATGATAGCTTTTCGAGAGTCTGTTCTAAGGCGTTATAGGAGAACGAGAAATCCTGCACATTTTCAGTATTATAAGCAGTTACGTAATTTTGTCACGGGTGCTATTCGTCGTGAGAAAAGAGCTTTTATTGAACGGAGTTGTTTGATGTGGAAGACTTTGAGAAAATTTAATCTTGTTAGGTCGAATATCACTAATTTACCTCCCAACCTGGCTGACACTGATAGTGTCAACTTATTTTTTTTTTAATCTCTTGCTGATGTTGTTATTAAGCCTGACTCGAAGTTATTAACTCTCTATCATACTAATCAATTAAATCCTGACTGTACTCCTTTTACCTTCAAGAAAGTGTCGGTGGATTCTATTGAGCGGTATTTGCTTTTGTTGAAGTCTACTAGTGTTGGCTCGGATGATATTTCTCTAGATATGGTTAGGTTGTGTTGTCCTCGTATTTTGAATGTTCTCTGTCATATTTTCAACTTTTGTCTAATAATGTCGGTTTATCCTAAGGCATGGAAATGCGGTCTAGTGACTCCTGTTCCTAAAACGAAACCAGTTAAAGAGCTTAAAGATTTGAGGTCTACTACCATCCTTCCGGTTTTGTCTAAAGTGTTAGAGAAAATTATGGCGGAGCAACTAAGATCCTTTTGGATACTTATAATATACTACCAGATAAACAATCTGGTTTTAGGAGTCAGTATAACTGTGCCACAGCGCTTCTTGACTTGACTGATGATATATATAGAGGTCTTGATGCTGATAGATCTACTGTGCTTGTGTTGCTTGACTTGTCGGTGTGTCTGAGTATGCTGTTTCTTTGTCTAAGAGTTATCTGTTTGATAGAACGCAGGTGGTTAAGGTGGGGTCACAATGTTCTAATTCTATTGAATTGATCCTATCTTATTTACAGTCTATACCAGCTATTTATTCTCAAAGTTAAAGTATTGTTCTTATCATCTTTATGCTGATGATTCCCAACTGTATTTAGATCTCCTGCCTGGTGAGCAATCGGAAGCTTGTAATAAAGTAACGGAGGATTTAAATCACTTATGTATGGAAATTAAGAGCCATGCTCTTTTGGTCAAGCCTGACAAGACTCAATGTATTTTATTTACTAAAAAGGGTAGTTTATTTGTTAATAAGGATTAATATGAGGATGCTTGGAGGACAGTTAGGACTAACCAATTTGGTTAAGAGTTTAGGTCTTATTATTGATGATCAGCTTGCGTTTGGTGAACATATTAATTTATTATGTAGGCGTGCTTATGGTTCCCTAAGAAGGCTTGACTGTAGTAAGATATTTTTATCGCAGGGTTTGAAACGACTCCTTTGTGATTCTCTTGTATTGTCTCACTTTCATTATTGTGATGTTGTATTTGGTTCATGTTTATCCCAGGAGAGTTTAAGAAGGGTTCAGGTTGTGCAGAATTCGTGTCTTCGTTTTATATAGATTTGTTATCTAGTGACTGGCTGAATATGCGACAGAGGGTTGTGGTTCACTACTTGTCTTTCATCTACGATCTTATTACATCCGTTCAGGACGGATGTTCATAAATTGAATCTGCGGCACAGCTTTTGTTTAAACATTCCTTCGCATAAGTCTTCAAAATTCAAGTGTTCATTTTCGTACCAGGTAGCTCGTTTTTGGAATTTGATACAAGGCAAAAATTATCACCATATTGAATGATTTTGGCTGTAATCCCCAGGCGCTCATGAAAATCGATGGAATAAATATTGAAAAGTACCGGGCTAAGAATAGAGAAATTACCTCTATGATCTCGGACATAAATATCTCGATCGCGTAAGATGTTTACAATCTACGTGCCACTTTAGCTGGAAGTCCCAGGAGTTCATCTTTTGCTCCCATAAGTCCAGGTTTACCGAATTGTATGCGCTTTTCAAATCAAGAAATAAACAGGCGCAATATTGATTTTTTGAGAAAGCAAGTTAAAGCTCGGTAACCAAATCTGCTACTGCGTCCAGCGAACTAAATGGTTTTCTGAAGCCATATTGTTGACAAGGCAGGATGTTATTTTGATCTAGCCACCATTTTTTATATATAGCCTTTTGAATTCCTTGACATAATTATCTGTAGCCCACATCTCATTATAAATACCCAATAAAAAATTTGTCCTTTACATGTCCCTGCTCTGTATCGGTTCTTATGTGAATCACCCTGTATTTATTCTTATAATAATACCAATAATAGAACCAGAAAACATGTTTTTTTTTTTAATTCTCTCTAATTCTTTTCTGTCACTTTTTCATTGATGCGCNCATCTTAATATATTGTCCTTTACATGTCCCTGCTCTGTATCGGTTCTTATGTGAATCACCCTGTATTTATTCTTATAATAATACCAATAATAGAACCAGAAAACATGTTTTTTTTTTTAATTCTCTCTAATTCTTTTCTGTCACTTTTTCATTGATGCGCCGAGGAGCGTGGCTCTCGGTTGCAAAAGAGGTTTAGCGTTCCATATAATTTTGAGAAATCTACTAGGCTCAGTTAAATTTTAGCTTTAGCATTTTGGCCTAACTGGATAATTTTCCTATTGCCTTAGCGAATAAAAATGTTAAAATGCTTAATGATATAACATTCACGGTGGACTATTGCTTTACTCCTGACTTGTGTAAGGATCTTCTCGTCTATGTCTATACATAAAGACAGAAATAAAACATGAAGTTGGTGAAATAACTTGATGTACATAACATTATGGTGGAACATGTTTTCTATTTCTGTTTCAATCAATTGTATAAAAATTGATTCATACCATTAACATACTCAGTTTTCAAAGATAAATAACCAAAATTATCTGTTTTTCAGTGATGGAATATGGATTATTTGTCTTTTTTAGTGCAGCAGTTCCGGTACTTCCACTTCTTGTATTACTAAACAACATCGTTGAAATAAGAATAACCGCAAGGGCACTTCTTCGCAAATCAAGAAGAAACATTCCAAAACCTGTCGTTGGTTTAGGCGCATGGAATAATGTTTTAAGAATCATAACAAGATTGTGTTACCTTATAAGTGTAAAAAACACAAAAAATCTCAATTACTTTTTTCTAATAGTACATTTTCTTCAGGGTACAATAATATGTTTTACATCATTTCTCATTAATCGGGGCGTCTACTACGTCAATAACGAATATTCAATGGAAGGATTTATAAATCAATCCTTAACGGGTAAACCTTATGATCCAACAAATACCATATTAATATCATTTTTTACTGCAGCTTTTTCAGTTTATGATTTTAACAGCGAAATGAAGCAAAATTTATTAAGCAAATTTCCAGATGTGACAGTTTGTTATTTTAACGGATTGAAAAACGATTTTAACACTACACATCCTTATCAACATGGTTTTAAATATTATCACCTTGTTGGGATAAAATTCATAATAGCTGTAATTTATGTGGTAAAATTAAAACTCATTATTAACTTATTTTTATTATACTTAGTTTATTTTTAGCACGTCGTTTATTTTTTGAGCAGCATTGTAACGTTTTATATACCTAAAGTACCAAGTGAAATTGCGGAGAGTATAGCTTACGATGTTAAAGCAAAAAGAACCGAGGAAATGGAAAAACTAACTGTAGGAAACAGTGGATAAGATCAACCATAACTAATTTTTATATAATTTCATTCATTGTTGAATATTCAATAAACTTTAATGATTTTAATTGGAATGTTTCATCATCGTAAAGAAAGTGTTACTTAAGATATAATGTGATAATTTTGGTGTTACCGATAAGGTGCGTTTAAACTAGTGATTTTACGAAAAGCCGAATACCGGATATTCAGCATCCCATTTGGCCGAATATCCGGTTATCCGGCATATCTATTCGGCTATTACGGTTATAATTTCTGGTGCATTTCTGAAGTGATACCCTATATTGCCACATTATTGCGATATTTGAATAAAAATGAAATTAATACGAAAGCTAATAAGATATGTGAACTTATTTGGATCCAAGATACAAAATGAACTTTTTTGATGCTGATTTATCTAACGAAGCAACTCTAAAAAGAGGATACTTTAATTAATAATTGGTGATATTTCTACCTGGATCCTTCAAGAAGTGAATT